TGTGAGTTCTCTACTTTATATTTTAGTATGTACATTTATTCTGACAACTGTGCTAAATCTCCTGCCTTGTCTTGCTTCTATCTGCTTACTGATTATACCTTCTTTAATAATTGTCTCTCCCTATAAAAGTCAATGCCATACAACTTACTATTTCAGCCTTCAGAGCTTTCAGTCCTCTTCAGTAGAAAATTATTTTTAAAATATTTCCAAAGTTTTTACACCAATGTTCTTACCTACAATATTAACAATTTAAAAGTCACTTTTCACATAACAAACACATCAAGAATTATTTCCTATGCACTACAGATATTAATAATATTAATTTTTCTTTTACAAAAATGTAAAATGTAATTTGTATACTATGACAGCTTATCAAGGCACCTACATGATCATTCAGTGACCTTTCTGTTAGACTAGTGAGAGATTATACCAGGATTTTACCTTCATTTTAACAACAATCTATATTTCCACAAAACCTCAGCCTGTATTTCAAGTACAGGGACTATCCACACTGTATTGGTAGGGGTATATATTTGGATGCTATGTAGTGTTTATTTTAATGTCTATTCTGAGGTAATTTTTTATGCATATGCTATCTATCGCATACTACTATAACCAGGAAGAATTAATCTCTGCATTCGTACTTGTTGCTAATATCTTCTTATTTGCACCTTTGTAAATCGTTACAGTGAACAAAAGAATATGGACATTTTTTACCATCACATAATGCAGAAAGCTATTCTCTCAGAAAAGAATAAGAATACACAATTCTCATTTATTTTCAGTGCTTTGAGCTGCATTTGTAGTGCATGATAACAGACTCATTTTACTATTGTAATTATTCTGGGTTTTACATTTCTCGTTTTCATTAAAATCTCCATCAATTCTTTGATGGTCTTGAAACACTTCTGGCTTTGCTTAGCTGGAAGAAATGAATGACTCCTCTTTTGAGGTGGAAACAGTCATGAGGCAGGTTTCCATTTAGTTGTAATAGTAGAGTTGGCAAAGGTTGTAAATATGAGCTCCAAACCACAGTGGAAGCCTGGTTTTCCCCACACTATCCAAAGTTTCACTTATCAGAGGTACAGAAAACTTCACATTACATCCAGCCAGTCTCAAGCAAAACACGTTTGCTACAGGAGTTCAGTGCATTGTATGTAACACCTAAGAAGATAAACTCCATGCAGCAGAGCACACCTCCGGAAGGCTTTAAGAAGAAATACCAATCTATATGAAACACACTGTTAATTGAGGATAATATCCTGGTGTAATTTATACAGAGATAGATTCATCCAGTACTATATGGTACAACACAAAATTACCACAATATTAAAGTATCTCACAAATAGGCAAAGATTTCAGAATAATATACAGTGGCCATAATTTCAAAATTAATATCCATAACACTTCAGTCATTGAGGTATCATATTTACATCTTTAAATGTGAAAGACGGTATTGAAAATGATCAGTAATACAATAAAACCTGTATAAAATTGAATCTGCATTAAATATATTCCATAAGAAAAGACAGGTACATGTTATCATCACATACATGTGTCCCACGTTTTTCTCTTCTCGCAATAACTTTCAGACAAACTTGACAGATTTTTATCAGATTTGTTGTGGGCACTGTGCAATTGACTTCAAATTTTTATTTCCTGACTATCAGTAATTCCACATTCACATTCCCAAGGTGCAAGTAAAATAAATTAAAAATGTAGATGATAATTGATCTTCAAAGCTTATGCAACTTCTTGTTCTGGGAGGGGGTGAGTGTCCAAAACAATATGCCAGATGTGAAAAATTTATATTCAGGTTGTTATTAAGGGCAATAATGAAAGACTGAAGCTAGGCAATTTAAATTGTGTAGATAGGTCATAATCATACCTGAACATTTTAATTACACTTCTTTTTACATGTTAAGCATTGCAAACATGCCAATGGTTTGCAACTTTGAGGTCAAATCTGAGGTTAACATAATTTAATATTGTACAAGTGGAAATTACTAACACAAAGTGATCATTAAATTTATAATTGTTAATTTATTATTTGTGCTAGGCTAATCATAAAGATTGAAACATTTGAAGGAACTAAGTATAGTAAGATCTTCTTGCTTAAAATGTATATATACTTACCTTAAGTTGTAATGATAACAGATATCATCCAACTTCAACTTCCACTAAGGACAGATATGTGCAACACAAAATGCTGATATGTGCATTTGCAGATACAAGATTAAACTCCCTGTCCATGTCTTTGCCTTACATGTTTCATTCCACAACAAGAATCCATCGGCCGAACATTTATGCCAAATTTCCTTCAAATATTTCAATCTACATGTGAGACTGACAGGAGCTACAAGCAAATAACTATACACTTAGTGAATCATATCTGTGTATAACTTCCAGTAGGACCCATTCTGACAATGCTACATTTCTGAGATATAACCTCACCATTTCATACCAGTATCATGTCTTCAAACTGACATGTAAATAATGTTTCATAAAATATTTTTGGAGATTTTATGCTCTAACTTCCTATTAAAATTTAAATGCCTAGCTAAAATGATTTACTTTGTATCATCATCAGGCCAAGGGTATATATAGATTTCATATGACAAACACGTTGTCTTACACTCTGCCTTACTAAGAGCTTCATATTTCTCAAAGATCTACTGAAAGGTAAAGTTGTCCCTGTTCTTAATTAAGCACTATGCCATGAAGGTGTATGGGGGAGTAGATATATCGAGTCACATTTTCTTGACCTTGGTACCAGTTGGAAGTGTGTGGTCAGCTTCACTCCCCAGCAGCTTTAACCCTGGGGAAGGAGCCCCTGGTGCCCACTGCATAGGAGGCTGGTTGAGCCCCAGAGTTGGTCTGGATGACATGGAGAAGAGAAAATTTTTGACCCTATTGGGATTTGAAATCCGACCCCTTGGTCATCCAGCCAGTAGCCAGTCACTACTAGATCTAATAATATACAATATCTCAGGACCTTACAATATGTGACACTAGTGTAACTCCCATCTCAGGGCTGTTCATATCGATATCATTAAGAACAGGAAATAAAAAAAGTGCAAAGGTGGGATAAGCTTTAGTGTTGTGTTACTCATTACTGCATTTAATAACAATTTATCAGTTGGTTCAAATGTTATAGAGAGTGAGCACAGACACACAGGTATGGTGAAACATCAAGCCTATCTATCCATAAGGAAAAGAGGATAAAATCTATTTACAAAATTTGTATTATTAAGTGTCTCCAATGACTAAAAGTGTCAAAGCTCAGTCATATTGGTTCATTCGAACAACTACAGATGTCTCCTAAAATTAAAAAACACAGTGACCCTGTATTATAAGAATCTGTAACCATTACCCATCTGTTACTAATTTAAGAATAATTCCTTACAACCCAAACATTATAGTTATTACTGCAACAGCAGGTGCACCATATAATAATTAATTATACCTATGTCTTATTTATGGTAACTCTACTGTGGTTTCAAATAGCTAATATGTCACCACCATGACTTCAGCCTTCATCATGGTCTTTACGTAGTCTCTAAATAATTTCTGCATTCCTGCTGTATGTATTCACATTAATATGACATGCTTTGGTCTGAAGAATACAAAGTTATATTCTGCTGTACTTACAAATACATGTAGGAAACATAGCGTAGTAATCTCTTTATTCCACTACTACACAAACCATTTTCAGTCATGTCTCAATCACTTGTCGTAATTTATATCAGCAGGCATATGGACATCAAGATAAGCCGATGAAAAGCATCAGACAAAATTTACACAAAGTATTAAATGAACACGAAGCGGTAAGTTTATACAAGGTATTAAATGAACAAGACAGACAAAAGACAAACTGGTTACAACAAACATTCAAAATAAAGATGGTGAATGAACAATCATTAGTGATCAAGACCAATAAAGAGAGAGAAGACACAAAATTTAGAGTAGGGAAGCAGCTGATACAGATACAAGAGGAGTGCAAATTAAATATATTAGATTATATGGATTATTCTATTATGTATATACAGATGGGAATGTAAGTTGATATGGCAGAGGTTCCATTTATAGGTAACTTTAGAACTTCAACAATCTCATTTTCAACTGTTTTGCAGTCAGTTATTCATCTCAATATAAATCAGCACTTTTATCTATGAATGACCTTATGATGAAAAGGTTATAAAATTTTATTCTTTATTTATCCTGCAAACACACAAGTATGAAAGTTTTAAAATAAAATTTCCATGGATTCTATCTTAATACATCCAAAAACAATTTGTTCTTCCCATATGAAGACATGTCAGTGGGGACAAAATTCTAATACATTTATTCAGTTGACAAGGTAAGCTCATAAAATGTATGACCATTTAAAAACTTCTTCCAGTCTACACTTAAACGGAATTGTTGAGCAATTCTTGAGTTATTTTATAATGGTTTATTCATTATATAGATTACACTGCAATACATGGCAAAAGAATCACATTTAATGAATTAAAACGGATTTGGACGATGTGGCTATAGCCTGTTTAAGGTGTTATACCATCACCTGCTTGGCAGAATTGATGAAAACCATGAAAAATTTCAGGATACTTGGTCTTTAGTTTCCAATTTAAACCCAGGGCTTCATAAATTTTAAACAGAAGTTATTGTCACTACACTGTGCCCTTTAGTAATATATCATAATCAATTATGGTAATTCTTCATTTTACACAAAAATTAAATCAGGAGAACTAATAGAATATTGTAATAAAATTTGGTTGAGAAAAAAATTGATATTGAATAGTCTTAAACCTGATTTACTTTTTTTTTCAGACTGAACTTCTCCATTAGTCTTACCCATTCCTCTTCAAAATGTGAAACCTGTGTTTTTATATATCATACCACCATGGTGGCCTGGGTTCGATCCCTGGTCTGGTCAAGTTGGATTTGTGGCAGACAAAGTGGCGCTGGGGCAGGTTTTCTCCGAGTTCTTCGGTTTCCCCTGCCAATCTTCATTCCACCAAATGCTCCATCATCATACTCACCTGGGGCAGGTACAATAGGCCAATCAGTTTGCCACTATGCTGAATGACCCTGTTGGATTCCACCCCCCACTAAGCAAATTTTAATTTTTTGTATATATTATCTTAGATATTGTGACTTTCCTGTTACAATGAAGAATAATTAGTGTCAGACAATGGTTAGGGTACCTAATTCCTTTAACAGCGTTGCCTCAACAGCATTGCTAATGTATGTAGCATCAAATGTGAAGATGATAATGAATTAGGCAAGGTGTGGAAAGAAACGTCTGTCATTTATTTGAAGTCAATATTCCAGCATTTGCCTGGAGAAACTAATGACAGTCATGGAAACCTCAGACAGAACAACCAGTATTCAGGCTGAAAATGTGGATCTCCAGAATATGACACAGGCAAGCTAACCACAAAACCAAGATTTTAAGTCATTTACAGATGATTTTATAACAGTAAGGATACTCAGGTTCGGTAAATCAGACCATACAAATCAGGTGGTATTCCTGACAACCTGTAAGCAGAAACACTGTACAGACAAGTGACAAGTTGGATAGGTAATGATCCCTTTCACAAATGAACATAACAATGTATTCTTCTTGCAGCCAATAATACAATTCCAAACCACATAGTGGCACATTACAAACATACCTAAGCTTCTGACAATTGCATAGCAACCCCCATGCTTGAGCTTTGAAAGAAATGGTATCTATATTTTGAGGAAATATAAATCGTGCTATAAAACTGCTGATATATATATAGTGTTTTAAGAACAAAGCATACAGTGAGACAAGTTTCAAACAGCTGCATCTACAATGCAGTTGAGTAAATTTCCAGTTTTCTCTCATAGGAATGACAGCAAGTAGTTGTGGTTGCTACTGAACCTGTTACATACATAATTTCTTGTAACATTCCATCGCTGAGAGCTGGAAGGGGGTGTAATCAGTCTTCATGTTCACTGCATTGAATGATGATTCTGCATCTCAATGCTAATGAATGTGTCAGTGTTTGCTTAAGTCACATGGCACAGCCATGTCACTATGTCATACACTAGTTTCTGACCGAGCTTTCCCTGTGATAGGATTTAATTCCTCTTCTTGCGGAGGGACCTGTTCATCCACAAAATTAATGCTGCCTGCTTTGTACCATACAATGATGTCCATGAAGAATGCACAGAGAAGAATGGCTCCAGTAGTCCCTGTTGGAAGCAATATATGTTATTGCTATTAATAATGCAATAACACAAGGGTGACTTGGTACCTACAATGTCCATCAATGATATTTACTGTAGAGTTGTGGCACAGAACAAAGGAACTTGGTTTCTACTATGGATTACATATGAGGCCTATATATCAGAGACAGTCAGAATTAAATTTCCAAGCCACACATTTAGAAACCATTCACTGTTTTTAACATAGATAATAGAATGCCAATGTACAACTGAAAATATATTTCAATGAAATTCCAAAGAAGATGAAAGACATTTACACCATAGCACACATTGGTTTTTCTTATTCTCCCTTCATAGATGTCAGAGAGAAAATTAGTGTTCTGTGAATGTCTTTCCTCTGTGTACGGAAACCCAGTCTCTGCCTTCTCGTAATGCTCAGGTAGGTAAACAACATTTTATATCATTCAACTGTCTGTTGAAGGTTTTAATTGTTCAATAAGGTAAACAGTAAAAGAAAAAACAAACAGTCCATGATAAATGATAATGGAGGAAGAGGCAGTTGGAAATTAATTTTGTACTGATACAGCTCACTGCCATTGAAGTCTTCACTGCAAAACGTTTAGCCTCCTTTGTTACTATTTATCTTATTCAGATAATTTTTCATTTATCATCATATCTAGTATGTCAGCTTTCTATAGAGCTATTGACATAAATTATAGACATATGTAAAACAAAAACTTATTTCAAATACACTGAAACTCAAATTATAAAAAAAAATGGTTTAGTGGTATAGACCAGCCAGTCTCTCTCAAGTATGACTAATACAACAAACTGCACAGAATAACTCACCATGGTAAAACTTCCGGAAGACATCAGCATCATAGAGCCTGCAAGCACCCCTCTCTCCAGATGCCATCTCCCATACCAGGCACGCAGAATCTACAACCGCACCATACACAATTGGACATGGCACATTGCCTGGAAGATAAATAAAGATTAAAACAGTAATTCAAGCTGAAAAGTTAATGAACATTAACTAGGTGAAGAAACGCACTGACAGAGATGTATGCAGATCACAAGCAGCAGAAATGAAATTTCTAAAGAGTATTACAGAACAAATCAGGGGTTGGATCTGAAAGTAGAAAGAGTACAAGAAAAGCTGTGAAGTTAAGGATAAGGATACAGTGATATGGGCATATGTTAGGCTTGGTTAAAAATGAGATTCCTTTGAAAACATAAAAAATGAAGATTGCAAATAAACAACTGTGGAAAGACCAAGGACAAGACAGAGGGATGAAGTGGGGGAAGATAAAATAGAAGAAAGAAATAGTACACACAAACATAGGGGGATCAATGATTGGAGGAGGAGGAGGAGGAGAAGGGAAAGGTTTTTTCCATAAGACAACCAATCTGCAAGCAGTTTGGGCCGTGCCATAGTTCAAGTGTTTAGTCACTGGCTTCCCACGACGGCGGCCTGGGTTCGATCCCTGGTCTGGTCAAGTGGGATTTGTGGTGGACAAAGTGGCGCTGGGGCAGGTTTTCTCCGAGTACTTCGGTTTCCCCTGCTTTTCATAATATATATAAATGACCTTCCACCAACAATAAATTTTTCATCAGAACCCATAATATTTGCTGATGATACAAGTGTTATAATCTCTAGTAAAATGTTTGATGATTTCTGTGCAATATCAAACAGAGTACTCTCCCACATGAATAAATGGTTCAATGCTAACAGACTTGCCCTAAATTTAAACAAAACAAATGTAATGAAATTTACAACAAATAATGCCCCTCCCTATGTTTTAAATATTGGATATAATGGAAAATATATAGAAGAGACAGTAAATACGAAATTCCTTGGCTTGCAAATTGATAGCCACCTAAGTTGGTCGAACCATATAGATAAATTGATCCCTAAGTTAAGTGGAGCATGCTACGCAGTTAGAAGCATGTTTCATGTCAGCAATACTGAGACTCTCAAATTGATTTATTTTGCCTATTTTCATTCTGTAATGAAGTACGGAATAATTTTT